GGGCTGGCGGGGCTGCAGGCGCCTTGGTCCCCGCGCCCCTCCTCACGCGCCGCCGCTTGTTGCCGCCGAGTTGGGCCCCGCGCTGTGCGCGCTTGGGCTCGGCAGTGGGGACCATCAGGGAAGGGCCGCGGTGACATCGCTCCGACATGCGCGGGCGTCCCAGGCGTCAGGCAGTGTCCAGACGCCCTCACACCCACATGAACCAGGCGGGAGGAGGTTATCTGTCTGACCAGCTCCTTCCTCCCATAGGGGTGCTAATGTTTTATAAAGATTGTCATTAAAATGGTTACATTGTGGACTAAATGTAGGGGTTCCCGTCCTCCTGTCCCCACTTTTCCACCTTCCCCGTCTGAATAGTCCCTGGACACTGGCAGGGAAGTTCGTCCCCGTCCTCCAGGGATGCTGTTTGTTCAGGTCACGTCTGTGTCAAATGCACTCACATGCACATGGCCTTGGATTGATGTCCACCTCAAAGGTGACCCCCACTGTGACAGTGTAAAGAGGGTGGGAAGTCTTATTATGGTAATAGAAAAGAGGGGCCTTGAAGAGGTGCTTGGATTGCAGGACCAGGCCCTAGTCAATGGATTAATAATGGGGGTCAGGGGTTAGGCCTGAGGGCTTTAAGAGGACAGTGAATAAGCAGGTCTCTCTCTCTCTGCCCAGCCATTTCTGCCAAGTGAGACGCTGCATTGCTGTAAAGCCACCACCAAAGAAGACTGGCCAGGTGTGTTCCCTGGACTTTGGACTTCCTAGCCTCTGACACTGTAAGCAATAAATTTCATTTTCCTTATAAATCATGCAGTTTCAAATATTTTGTTATAAGAAACAGATTAATACCCACATGCACACACACGTGCACACACATACCTCAAAACTCACAGCCGTGGATAGAAAGTCTGTCTACAATTAAAGTAGTTTCAGGCACAAGGACAATGTAGGTGGGGCTGGAGGGGTTGGTGGGCGCAGGATGACACCCAAACCTCATCTCCCCCAGAGCAAAGCCTGGGAGGATCTTTACGGCATTTTAGAGGTCCAGGGAGGGGCTGGTCGGTTGGGAGGGACTTCATTCCCCCCACTCCCACTCTTGCCCTCCTCTGGGAGGTGGTGGAGCTGGGAGCAGCTGCTGGCAACTGGTTCTGGGGCAGCCCCAACTCCAGCTCTGAGCAGATGGACTTGGTACTTTAGGGAGCTTGCTGACTTCTCTGAGCGTCTGTCTTTCTGTCTGTACATCAGCAAGGAGGATCTTGGTCACCTTTGAGGGATTTTGGAAGGGGTTCACGGAGATGATTCAGGGGTGCTCAGCCCTGGCACCCTGCTTCTCCCCGAATATCCTCGCCCAAACAGACAAGCACAGGGAGACCTAGATCCACACTCACCCAGCCCTCCAGGTCCAGGTGAATTCAGGGTATGAGTTATGGATGTTGTAACAACTTACCACCAATGTAGTGGCTTAAGTCAACACAACTTTATTATCTTATACTTCCTAAGGTCAGAAGTCCAAAGTCAAGGTGTGGTCAGGGC